ATCGGAAATCGGCGGAGATCTCGAGGAGGAGGAGGAGAAACGTCGGGAGGTATGGCTTCGCCGCCGTGTGAATCGCGCGTGATACGGCGGCGTCCACCGCTAAGATGGGACCGAGGATAATCGTCACCGTCGACGGAGACATAACTGTCGTTAAGCGATCTGAGTCTGTGATTGGTTGACGCGGAAAAAAACGACGCCGTTAAAAGAGACGGATTTTAATTATACGTAATTCCGATTCTAAAGAAACGACGTCGCTTTATTCGCGTGAAAATATTTTATCTTGGGCCTTTTTATTAAAGCCCGTTTAGAGAGAGTAAGATCTACCGATTCCAGCCCACCATTGTCGCTTTCTCATTACGGTACCTTATAGGGTTTGTCTACCAAAAAGAGAAAAGAAACCCTAAAATTTGGAAACTATTCTTCAGAAATTTTGTGTATAGATGAATGGTCTTTAGGTATTTTGTTCTGAGAAGAAAAGTTAGCTATTTTGTTATATACCTCAATAAATAACACCCGACAATAAACTTAAATCATTTAAGTTCTTGATACGTTAAAAGGAAACACATCGTCAAATTTGCTTTCCTCATTAAATGATACGAAGTTTTTTTTGTTCTTTCACCTAACCAACTTCTTTTATCACTACTCTGCCTCTTTTTAATCATAAGTCCCTTCTACGTAACAAAAAAGTACTTATCCAATCACAAAATCGAACCAAATAGAACATGGATAAAATCGTCATTACAAGTTTTCAACGATTAGAATAAAACACCCGCGAGTATTGTTCATAGATTTAGGAAGAGAGAGAGAGACACTGGTGCGAAAAATTAATCCGGATCCGAGTACCCCGAACATGCCAAACGGGTGGATCAAGTCATTACAATGCAAATCCAAAGCTTTCAATGATGTCTACAATTTCAACAGTTACAGTTGCAGCAAAAAGAGCTCACATTGCGTCAAAGACGTTATCAATACCCGATTACGTAAGAAAAACCCAAAACCCGACCCGAATTTGAAGTCATGTCGAACCGAATCATCGGAGCTTAACCCGCCTACCCGAACCCAACGGAGTAAATCTGCCCGAACATGTGACGCGTTGACCGAGCTGCCCGATGGTCACCCGTCTAGAAACGTAGTGGAGATCATATTCCAATCTAGCTGGAGCTCCGATGGATTTCCGGGTCGGATCGAGATGATTTGCAAAGTTGAAAACGGGTCAAGAACTGTGACCCGGTTCGAGGAAAACAGAGAGGTTGTCAAGTCACGTGCGGGTTTAAACGGAGGATTCGACGGCACGTGCGATGAAGATTCACGGTGTTTAGCAGACGGTAACGAGATGATGAGGTTTTATCCGATCGGAGAAATTCCCGACGGGATAAACGACGGTGGCGCGTGGGGTTTCTCCGCGGGGAAAAGTCAGGTGGTGTGTACGTTTTTGGGGAGCGGCGAAGCGCATGCGAGCAAAGGATGTGGCGGAGGAAGGAGGGCTATGCTGATTTGTCGGGTAATAGCGGGTCGGGTTGATAATAGAATCGGGTTTGGGCCGGATTCAGTAACGGGTCGTAACGGCGAATTGTTTGTCTTTGATACAAGCGCTGTGTTACCTTCTTTCCTAATCATTTTTACGTTATAAAAATCTAGGTTGCATGAAAATGGAAACGGATACGTGAAAAAAAAAAACACGTGAAAACGATTTTTAAAAAAAATTTAGGAAACGGATACATTTTGAAAATACATATATATATATATGAATCAACAACATCAAAAACAATATTTAAAACAATGATGAACAACAAAAATTATATACATAAATATTAAGTAGCTTAATAAAAGCAAAAAGTATAATAATTTTGTTGTTTGCAATCTTTCATAATTTTGTTGTTTTTAATCTATAAAAATACTAAATACATCCTTACATTTATAAACTATTTAACTATTACGTAGAAAACAAATTTTCATCGCATTTCCAAAACGAAATAGAACATTTCCGTCATATTTCCAATTTGAGATTTCTAGAAAACGAGTTTTCGTCGCGTTTCCAAAACGGAATTAAAGTTTTCATCGAGTTTCCAAATTAAAATATTTTAGGAAACGCGTTTCCAAATTAAAATTTTTTAGGAAATTTACTTCCATGGAGTTTTGGTTTCTAAAACGTTTCCAAAACGAGAAACGCACCTCGGATTGAGTTTTCATGCAACCTAGATATATTATTTTTAAATAAACTTATATACTTTTATATTTTTCTTTACTAATAATTTTATGTTGGTAAGTCGAATGTAAATATTGTTAGGACGACTTTTACCTGCTAATTTCATCTATTACTTTGTACCGCGAATCCGCGATCAGTTCATGTGTTGGCCAATTCGCGGCAGAGGGGTTTTCACAACTTTGCTATTGCTACTATGTAAAGGTTGTGTTTCAATGAAAAAGTTGTCCCTAAAATAGACAGTTTTACGTGTCGATGTTTGAAAACAAAATTATTGATGAATATTTTTGGAATTACACTATTTTACACTATTTTATACTAATTGATGGAAAGCACAAAAGACAGCTCGATCTTCGTAGTACTTTTTTTTTCTTTGTGTTACATGGTAAATTGCTTGTCCATGTTCCTTTTTTTCTCCAGTACCTTTCTTTTACTTACTTAATAAGCCACTATATCATACTCTAATTTAATCAAGAATATGAATAATCATGTGCCAATGTCATATTAATCATATTCAGCTCGACTTCCTACAAGGACTAAGAATATTATCAACGATTTTAGCTTTCGAAAATTCCGAAAACTTCCAAAAGCCCTTGTGCCCTTAAAATTGTTGGGAGTTTACGAGTCATTGGATGCTTTTAAAAGCTGTTAGGAGTTTTAAATGGTTGGATTGGAAGTTCCAAAAATTATAGGAAGTACGTAGTGTGACATGTATACTTTTAAAATTTGATCCACTTCATATATTGAACCGTTTTTGCAGTGAACGGTTATTGAATTTATTTCACCTAACAAATACGTTAACATGGCTTAAGTTTTACTTATACAGTTTAACATTTAGGTGTGTATATAATATATGCGTCGGCCAATTTTTCTACTCTTATTGTTTTCGTGGGGATGGATAGAAGTGTGTTTTAGTTTGACTTCAGAAGTGTGATTGGAAAAACATAATCATGGCGAAGACAATTTGGTGGAAGACTAAATATGATGATCTATAATTACAATACCACTCGGAGAGATCCTAATAATAGTGATCTTGTCTTCTTGACTTAAGAGAATATTTAGTTTGTCTCTTATAATTATGTTTCTTAATAATATAATGCCATATATATACAAAAGAAAGTTAGATACAAGAGAGTAATATCATAAACAAAAAACCCAATGTTTTACTTCATATATCTGCTAAATACTCGTTTTCCTTTTTTTATGGATGAATGATAAAACTAAATGACTAGTAAAAATGTTGTGTTTTGTGTTTGCTAGTTCAAATATTTTGTTAAGTGAATATTATGACAATGCCATTTATTATAAAATTCTTTTCAAATATGCCGTTATTTTTCAATCTTTTTTCAATTGTCACATAAAATTGCGAAAAAGACCATATTGCCTAATCCATTTGCAAACTATCTTCTCTCTCATTTTTCTTTGACAAAAACCATATTTTTTTTTCATCTATTCCAGCGAAAATA